TATTTCATGTATATTTCAATTAAATTAGGAGTAATTAAGATTAAACTAACCACCGTTTCTACTTATCATTTCAGCTACACATTATTGGATATGAACGACTTATCGTACATGAAATACCTGATATTATGAAGTCTTTATAAAAGGGGTCATGGTATCAACATATTTAGTTACTTCTATTTTGGCGTTGTCTCTAAATATAAAAATACAGGATGGTAGGCAGCATACAGTTAATAATCGGTTAGTGTAGACATTCGGCAATACTATATCATTTATTTAGCTTTTAGAATAAAACATCCACATTTACAGGCCATTATCATAATAAATCTTGACATTCAGGTCGTCGGCCAGTGGGACAGAGATATAGATGCTCAGGAGGCTCGCGTCAGCATCATACCGCCAGCCTGAGGACGGAATATCAGCGCCATTGACACTAATCCTCTGCGCCTCCTTGGGGAAGCCGAGGATGTCAATCGTCTCCAAGTTGATGCCAGCCACGGCGTCTTGACCGTGCATTACCGTCATCGTCAATTCTTCCTGAAGTTGAAAAGATCGAGTGAAATAAATACGACGCTTGAAAAGAACAGATTCTACATTCTAGAGTACATTAGGTTGCATGAGTCCGCTTTCAATTTTTACGATGATTGAACTTCGCTCCATAAATGTGCACGTGTGATGATAAAAAAAATTAGACACAAAATGTCACCAGTTCACCCTCAGCTTGTACGATGTAGAACGGCGACTAACGACACAGAAAGCGCAATTGTCCTTCCAAATTACCTGATAATAAGCCACTTTGCTCATGTAAGACTCGGACATGACGTGTTCCAGCACTTCACCGTCGTCCCAGAAGATCTCTCCCAGGGCGATCATGAGCTCGTCCAAGGCGACCGTCAGTCCGAAGGGATTCTTGCGACTGGAAGAAAAAGCGTTCGGGGGGCATAACGCTAACGGAAAATGTTAATGTAAAAGTCGATATCTAATGCGAGCTTTTGACATGAGACAGCTGGCTCTATTTTTTTACTCCCTGTGGTATCAAAAAGAACCAGTATGCAAAATACACTATCGTCTAAAACTAAAATGGACCCCTGGTATGGGATAGATGGCTTGGTTTCTCACCTTTCTACGGTGTTAAGGGCAGGAACCTGATAAGGAAGGATGTAACCACCTCGGACATACACGGGAATTATCTCCAAGGGTGCGGATACCGTCTGGGTAGTTGGTCCTGTTGCCACTAATTTAGCGTAAACAAGATCATACCAAAGTCCCTGAAATTTAAAACATAAGAGAACTAAAATCATATATAAGGATGGAAAACAAAGAATTAGTGTTGAAAAACTGAAAGGTCATCTGTACTGTATTAACATTAAGTAATACAAGAAAAAAATGTATGAAACTAGATAATCCACTGTTGTTACAGTAAGGCTTTGTAAGACCATGACGTGGTACTTCATTGTTACTCATGAATGTAAATTCAAATGGATTCTAGGAATGAACTGAAATGGTCTTGTTGTTGATTTGTTATAGCGTTTTTTTATATATATATAAGAAAGGGTCTTGGGATGTACATGTCAAGAAAATACATATTTGTTCTAAAATATTTCCCAAACTCTCCTACTCTTCCTCTTCCTCTCTCTCTCTCTCTCTCTCTCCCTCCCTCTCTCCCTCCCTCTCTCCCTCTCTCTCTCTCTCTCTCTCTCTCTCTCTCTCTCTCTCTCTCTCTCTCTCTCTCTCTCTCTCTCCCTCTCCCTCTCCCTCTCCCTCTCCCTCTCCCTCTCCCTCTCCCTCTCCCTCTCCCTCTCCCTCTCCCTCTCCCTCTCCCTCTCCCTCTCCCTCTCCCTCTCCCTCTCTCCCTTTGCAAGCCTACCTGCCTGTCTATCTGTTTCTCTCTGTTTCATCTCAACTCAACTCAACTCCCTCCCCCAACACCAGTGGTTTTACCTGAGGGAAATAGACATCCCTAGAGGTAGCCCCCTGCGTGATCACTGGAGCCACCATGAGCCCAGAGCCCCAAAGGAACTGGTCGTCCACATCACGCGCGGGGATGTCAGCAGGGAATTCGTTAAGAAGAGGTCGGATGACGGAATTGCCGTGCATGTGTGCCTGGCGGGGAAAGGGGACGAGGGTCAAAGCAGGTAAGGTACGTATAAGGATAATGATGGTAATATAATGTTTTTTGCGAATAATGATCATGTATATAGTAATGATAATGATAATGGCGATATTGATGATAATGATGATGATGATGATAATGATGATGATGATGATGATGATACTGCTACAACTAAGCATTATTATTATTATTGTTATTATTATCATTATTATCATTATTATTATTATTATTATTATTATTATTATTATCATCATTATAATAATGATAATAATAATAATCAATAATAATAATAATGATAATAATAATAATAACAATAATAATAATAATAATAATAACATAATAATAATAATAATAATAACAATAATAATGATGATAATAATAATAATAATAATAATAATAATAATAATAATAATAATAATAATAATAATAATAATAATAATAATAATAATAATAATAATGATAATAATAATAATGTAAATGATAAAGATAACATTAATGAATAACAAAGATAATGATAATGATTAGTGTTACCATTATCCCATTCATCACTATAAGTCACCGATAAGTTACCCATTAATTAAAGTGAAAAATAGGTGAATAACCAATCTATTAAAATTCAGAAAAAAATACCGAATCTGCATGAATGTTACACAACCAAACCAAACATGATGTAAAAAATATATATCAACACAAACGAAAGACGAAAAATGACGCAATGATCCGCAGGCAAAACTTACTTTGTGGAAGAGGGAGTAGAGGAAAGGCAGATACTTGTAGCGCAGTGAGAGGACTTCACGCGAAATCTCTCCTACTTCAGGCCAGACTCCGGGGTCTTGGTCGGCTGTGCCCATCGTGTTATGGTTGCGGCTGGAAGGTTCAGGTTTATACTAAGGTTCAGTTGTGAAAGAGCGAGAACTGGATATGTTTATTGTTGTTGTTATGTGTGTTTGGGACTATGCTTACTGAATGGAGAAAAAAGATAGCTGTTGTTTGTTTATATTCATTTGCTATCCTATCTGCAAAGGGCGTCAAATGTGCAATCAAATGTATGTATACATGTATGTCAAATCTTACCGTCTGATCTGATTGGCGTACAGTACATACTCTTGGACACGTAAAAATGTGAAAGTGTTAAACTTTTCGCGTTTATCATTCGTTGTAATTTATGGTTTAGTTTTTTGCTAAGAGTGCATTTAAACTTTAGACTTTGCCCAGAACTGCGCTTTATTTATGGATATCACTAAACTATAGCATTTTTTTATATTGCACTCAAGATCTCGGCGAAAAATGCTGCAATATCTAGTCTGATTTGCCATCAGTTAATAGTACATGGGATATGACAAGCAGAAGGCGACAGCACATCATATACAAGAGTTCATATGGTATAGTATACAGAGTTTAATGTTGTACACGTTTAAAATATCACCTAAGCTTCAATCTTCGACATCAAAATTCGCAATCAACAAAAAAGTACTAGAAATTATAGCTACCTGAAGGGATAGAAGGCTCCCACCTGCATCCATCTGGCACACATTTCGAGGTCAGGTTCGTTGAAGAAGCCACAGACATCAGCACCAACCATGGGCAAGCCAAACATATTGAAGTCGAACATACCTGAGGTTAAGCGTTTGAAATTTTAATACGGAATGCGGAAATTAATGATGTTTTGTTTTGGTTCGATGTCGAAGCAGGGTCGGTAGTAAATGCTTATGTATTTAATTGGTCTATTCTTTATTGCCGTTCTTCTCTTTTACTATTATCTCAGCAAACTGAAAAAAATGAACTACTTCATATTAGAGATTCTCAATCATAACAGAGCCCTGTAACTGAATGAATGGCCTTACCAATGATGGACATGTGCATTTGTTTCCAGTCTGCGGCATTGTCCCCTAGCCAGTGGACAGCGTACTTGCCGGAACCCGGGAACGTGGAGCGGGACAAGACAACGGGACGCTTGTTGGGGATCACCTCCGTCAGGCCACTGGCGAAAGAAGGGGAATTGGAATATTTACCTTAATACGAAAAAAAGAGAACACACTTCTTTAAAGTATTATAAAGGTTTATTCAGTACGGCATATAAGTCTTTCTTCACAAAGACTTACTCGAAGGTGGCGATGGTTTCTGTTAAGCCGTACAGTGAGTGGACATCGTAGTGCAAGTAGGTCTTGGTGCCATCTGTCTGGTTGCCGGACATACAGATGGTGTGATCACTGAAACGTTACTAAACGTTATTTTCATGTCATGGCGTATTTGATGAATTGATATGAAAGGCTATCTATATCACCGAATTCTAAATTTCTTTAAAGTCAAATTGCCATAACATCATCCTAAATGAAAAATCAATCATGATTTTTTATCCATACAACAACATAATGAAAAAAGTGAGAGAAGAGAGAGAGAGAGAGGAGAGAGAGAGAGAGGAGAGAGAGAGAGAGAGGAGAGAGAGAGAGAGAGGAGAGAGAGAGAGAGGAGAGAGAGAGAGAGAGGAGAGAGAGAGAGAGGAGAGAGAGAGAGAGGAGAGAGAGAGAGAGAGAGAGAGGAGAGAGAGAGAGAGAGAGAGAGAGAGAGAGGAGAGAGAGAGAGAGAGGAGAGAGAGAGAGAGAGAGAGAGAGAGAGGAGAGAGAGAGAGAGGAGAGAGAGAGAGAGAGGAGAGAGAGAGAGAGGAGAGAGAGAGAGAGGAGAGAGAGAGAGAGAGGAGAGAGAGAGAGAGAGGAGAGAGAGAGAGAGGAGAGAGAGAGAGAGAGGAGAGAGAGAGAGAGGAGAGAGAGAGAGAGGAGAGAGAGAGAGAGGAGAGAGAGAGAGAGGAGAGAGAGAGAGAGAGGAGAGAGAGAGAGAGGAGAGAGAGAGAGAGGAGAGAGAGAGAGAGAGAGAGGAGAGAGAGAGAGAGGAGAGAGAGAGAGAGGAGAGAGAGAGAGAGAGAGAGGAGAGAGAGAGAGAGAGAGGAGAGAGAGAGAGAGGAGAGAGAGAGAGAGAGAGAGGAGAGAGAGAGAGAGAGGAGAGAGAGAGAGAGAGAGGAGAGAGAGAGAGAGAGAGAGGAGAGAGAGAGAGAGGAGAGAGAGAGAGAGAGAGAGAGAGAGGAGAGAGAGAGAGAGAGAGGAGAGAGAGAGAGAGGAGAGAGAGAGAGAGAGAGAGGAGAGAGAGAGAGAGAGGAGAGAGAGAGAGAGGAGAGAGAGAGAGAGAGAGGAGAGAGAGAGAGAGAGGAGAGAGAGAGAGAGAGAGGAGAGAGAGAGAGAGGAGAGAGAGAGAGAGAGGAGAGAGAGAGAGAGAGAGAGAGAGAGAGGAGAGAGAGAGAGAGGAGAGAGAGAGAGAGAGAGAGGAGAGAGAGAGAGAGGAGAGAGAGAGAGAGGAGAGAGAGAGAGAGAGAGGAGAGAGAGAGAGAGAGAGAGAGAGAGGAGAGAGAGAGAGAGGAGAGAGAGAGAGAGACGGAGGGAGGGAGGGAGGGAGGGAGGGAGGAGGGAGGGAGGGAGGGAGGAGGGAGGGAGGGAGGGAGGAGGGAGGGAGGGAGGGAGGGAGGGAGGAGGGAGGGAGGGAGGAGGGAGGGAGGGAGGAGGGAGGGAGGGAGGGAGGGAGGGAGGAGGGAGGGAGGGAGGAGGGAGGGAGGGAGGGAGGGAGGAGGGAGGGAGGGAGGGAGGGAGGAGGGAGGGAGGGAGGGAGGGAGGAGGGAGGGAGGGAGGGAGGAGGGAGGGAGGGAGGGAGGGAGGGAGGAGGGAGGGAGGGAGGGAGGAGGGAGGGAGGGAGGGAGGAGGGAGGGAGGGAGGGAGGAGGGAGGGAGGGAGGAGGGAGGGAGGGAGGAGGGAGGGAGGGAGGGAGGGAGGAGGGAGGGAGGGAGGGAGGGAGGGGGAGAGAGGAGAGACGGAGGGAGGGAGGGGGAGAGAGGGAGGAGGGAGAGGGAGAGGGAGGGAGGGAGGGAGGAGGGAGGGAGGGAGGGAGAGGAGGGAGGGAGGAGAGAGGGAAGAGAGAGAGAGAGAGAGAGAGAGAGAGAGAGAGAGAGAGAGAGAGAGAGGCAGACAGACAAAAGAGAGATGAATGAAAAAAGTGAGAGAAGAGAGAAGAAAAAGAAAAAGAAGGAGAGGTAACACATAACCAGACAAACAGGCAAAAAAAAAAAGACAAACAGACAGACACAGACTCAAACGTCCCACTCACATCATGGAAAAGCTTGAGTTCGTTGGTCCACCAGGTCTTGGTCTCGGGCTTCAGGAAATCTGGGAAAATCGTCTTGGTATCGGGCCACACGTATCCCACCATATAATCGTCTGTTCCGGGTTCTTGGTCGCTTGGGACGAGACCCGGCTCGGACCACTTGATGAACACGTCCGATTCCTTGCCTCGCGCTGCCGGGGCGTAGTTGTCGAAGTCGATGACCAGCGCAGGATCCTGGGGATAACGATTAGCTTGAGTTAAACCCTTGCTCGTCATGTGATGTTTTTTTACGTTAAAGATGTGATAGTGCAACTTATTTTAAGGTGTGCGTCATTCATATTGATATGGTCCATTTTACATGTAAAACGCACGTGCAAACCAAGAAACTATTAACGCTGACCGTTGCAATTTACCAGAATAACTGATTCCCTGTTTTTTTTTTTTTTTTTTTTTTTTTTTTTTTTTTTTTTTTTTCTTAAGTGTAGTTAAAAAAAAATACATCTTACCAGGATTAATGTGACTTTAATGTTGTCATTGTGCAGTTCATCTATGAGATCTGGCATGTCACCCCAGTTGACAGGATCATAAGTGAAATCACGCTGACGGTCCATGTAGTCGATGTCACACGTCTGCACGTCCTGTACGCAACGAAGTCACTATGTTATGAATGTGTAATTTTAGGCATACTGTAAGTCCTTTAGAATATGAAAATATATAATTTAATGTAAAACAGTGGTTCCCAAACTTTAAAGGGATGGCACCCTAAGCCCCTTTTCGAACCATCTCTTCACCCTACATAAACTTACTATTGCAGCAAAGTACATCTTCACCTGTCCTACAAAATTACTTCTATTCAGTGCAAAATAAACAAAGGTTACATGCTCTAAATGACAAACGTAAAACTCAGAAGAATGAGAGTAAAGTTATTGCACCTATAAGCTTTATTTCTTTTTAAAATCTTGCGAAATCCTTAGATAATACCCAATGACTCTCCAGGGTGCCGCAGAAGCGAGGCTGGGAACCACTGCAGTAAATTATCAATACATCCTAGACTGTGCGTAAGTATGCATCGTTATCAGTGAGGTTATATATGATATCTTGTGTATACCTCTATCTTGCCGTATGGGAACTCACATAGTGTCTGATACCTTTATCGTATTGCATTATGTGGAGTTCAAACCCTCGTTAGGAAAAGTAGGTAATTAAGTACTGGTATATTGCCAAATTACTTATTCACATGGTAACTTACCTGAGGGATGCCCATAGCCTTCATCCTCTCCCTGGCAGCACGAACGCCATCGGTCGAGTTGTAACCCCAACGGGAAAGATGGAAACCCAGCGACCAGTACGTGGGCATAGCGGGTGTGCCGACCATCTGAAGGTGAATACTCAGTAAACACAGATGCAGATGGATAGATGTATATTTGAATAAGGAATGACAGGATATGCAATGCTAAATAGAGTTAAATATATAGATGCGGTGATTCATAAACAAAGTTAGAAGTTGATAACAGCTAATGAATAGCAATTAAAGAACTGAATATATAACACACATTTCTCTACACAAACGCAGCAAACAAAGAAACAAGACTACAACAACAATTTCAAAGAGAAAACAAAAACGTGATGAAATCTTAAACGAAATAAATACACAAATGAAATCGAACAAATAAACAATATAAACAAAACAGTATTGCTTCATATAATAAAAAAACAACAACATACATTAGCATACTGAAGGTTCAAATCTTCAGGATCGGGTCCCAAAAAGAAGTGAAGATCGATGATGCCGCCGATGGTGCGCAGGGTAAGGGTGGGCGTCCCGTCGTCCAGGAGGAAGGTGGAGTACTCTGGGGGTTAAAAGACGAAATAGACTGGATGGTAAAGAGGCGGAGGTGGTGTTAGTTGTTATGGTGATAACAACTGTGTTGATGATGGTAATAGTTTAGTAAAAATGGTGGTAACTGTTATTGATGATGCTAATAATAATGATATGAGTTTCGAATGTTTCGAATCCTTGCGTGCGATACTAAGAAATTATCAAAAATAATAATGATAGTACATATGTTAACAAAGCATTCATAAACTACTGAAAAAGTAATTCAACAAAATATTCGTACAAAGTAAATCCGAAACCTTGCCATCAACTTAATCAACAAAACCACCCACCCATTGCGTTGCTGTTGTGGAGAAGAACCGAGTGAGAATTCCCGAGGTCGTCCTCCATTACCATGTAGTAAGGGTGGTGACCATACTCGTTCATGGGATCCTGTGATAGGATTAGGGCGTGAGTCTCCGTAATGCTAATGTGTTTAGGCATAATACCGTTTCTTTTATTCTTTTTTTCCTGCTTTCTTCTGACTTTCTTTTTTCTTGTTTATTTCTTTTTTATTCTTTGTTTTCCTTGCTCCCTTTTTTAATGAAGTGCTGTGTTAACGGTTCAGTTCAAAGCAAGGATACCTCCCATACACTACGAATATAGTATGGATGAACTCAACTACCGACTCCAATAAGAATAAAACAATACTAAATGAATTGATCAGTTAATAGCCAGCCAATCGCCGTGATAAAAATGCGCTAAGGTGGTTTGCTCACCGTCCCAACAGGCTGGTCCCTAGCGAAGATCGGGAAGGTCGTGCGGGGCTCGAACACCTGACGGAAGGACGTGTGGGTGTTCTCGCCGAAGCCATACAAGTAGGTCGACATGAGTTCTGTGTTGAGTTGGATGAACTGGTCCTCGAAAGTCAGGGGTCCCTCCGATCGGAAACTGTCGGAAATTTGAGGCGATGTACTGAGTGTTGGGGATGTGATGGGAAATGGGTTTATTATTCGACAGATCTGATCTGATCCGCTGGCCCAATAAGTAATGAGATGTAAAGTTGGTTTAGGGTTTGGGTGGGGAGCTACTGGACCGTCATCTTGTTGGCTAAGCGGTGCCCAGCCTGTGATCCCCAGACCCTTGTCGAAGATCTAAACTGCTTCTTATTCTATATTCTGAGTTTTAGCTATTTTGAATTTGTTGCCACCTACTGCAACAGGCTTGTCGAGTAGACGAATTTACAAAAAAAAAAAAAAAAAAAAAAATAGGGTTTCTAAAAAAAACAAAAAAATATAGCCTAGCCTTAAATCGATCATGTTATAAGGCTAGTTTATCAGTATTGCATCGGTGTGAGAATACTGTGATGCACGTACATGGTGTTGCCGTTCGAGTTCCTGTTGACGTTAAAGTGGAATGGTTCTCCGTTGCCGCTGACGCCGACGGAGTAAAGAGGCTCCGTCTCGGCTTCAGCTGGCAGGTTTAGTGGCAATGGGACCTCATACCGTGCGTTGGCCTGGTCATAAATCTGATGAGGAAACACCGAAAAGGTTAGTCGCTCTCATTAAGTGTGTTATATACAGAAATATGCATGAGTGTGAAGACACACGCATAAATTATTATGAAAAGAGAATGTGTGTCTGATGTCTGATTCTTAGGACTAACAAAGATTTCCTGGTTTGTTAAAGCTCCTTATTAACTACTCCGCTACCAGAATTTAGATACGATCCTACAACTACTGCAGTGCATATTTCACCCTTTCAAAGAGAGGGAAAAATTCCAATCAGCACATGAAGAAAAGCGATTTAAAGCGCTCCAAAGGAAAATTAGTGTAAAGATATAAGCCTAAGCCAACAACTGAATCATCGGCCTACCTTGACTTGCAGATGGTAGTTCTCATGGTAGATAACTTCAAACACGAGGTCGGTCACGTCTCCACCAAACATGGTTACGGAGGCATCTGCTTTCTTCAAGTTAACCTAAATTGTCGAAAAAGAATTTATGGATTAGAAAATGAGAGAGAGCAAAGAACAGGGAAAATGAGATACTGAATTTGTATATCTAATAAGAAGCTGTGTGTAATAGTCAAAAAGGAGGATTATGTCAAGATTTATGAGAAAAGAAAACAAAAGAAAAAAAATACCTTGAATCCTCTGCCGGTGTCCTGAGCTTCACCGTCCACCACATAGCCTCCAACATCATTGCTGACCATGTGGCACCTGCCATCCGTCCACTCACAGGCTGTGTATTCAGCGCACTTCGCTTCTGAAGCGACGTCTTGACCCTCTGGATATGAACATGTGATTTGTAATGAGTATTTTCATCTGTATACTATACGAAGTACAGCTTTGTGCATGCGTTTACAGTATAAAAGCGTAGGTCTTTGTATATAAATTTCCCTTTATATGTATATACATATATGCATTCACTGCACACATATGTAGCTAATTAGAATAAATTATATTCATCAAAATGTATCTATTTAAAGGAGATGCGTTGTTCTGTGTACCTATGCATCGTGAAAGAACCAGAGTGACCTGCAAGAAACGCTAACGCGAAGCCAAAAGCATTTTTTTACTCAAGTTCAATCTTCATCTATCATGAACAAAGACCTTTTCATATTCATTGTATTAAAAGCCAATTAGTTATATAAACAAACAGAAATAATGAATTATCTATGACCCAGTGTTTTAGGGATATTCGTAGAGACATGTTTTTCTAACCGTCTAACACGCTACAGCAACTTCCTTCCCAGCCTCTTTTACCGAACCTGGAAATGGACACTCGATCGCCTGCAGCTTCGTTTGCTGGCCGAGGGAGAGGGTCCCCACCAGCGCCACCGCCAGGATAGCCTGTGCCACCACCCTCGCCATCTTTTCCTTCTTCAGACTAACACGGAGACGAAGGGAGGCGTCTCTCCACCTTATATTCGGGTCCGATTCTGCTTATCTCTTCTCTCGCCAACGCGGCACTCCGCACCTGCTGCTGTCACACGGTGGCTCATGGAAACGAATTCTAGATCTTTAACTCTGCTTTTATTTTCCGATAAACGTCTCCCTATCTCTTTCTCTCTTTCCCTCTCTCTTCCTTTCTCTCTCTCTTTCTCTCTTTCTCTCTTTCTCTTCCTTTCTCTCTCGCTCTCTCTCTCTTCCTCTCTCTCTCTCTCTCTCTCTCTCTCTCTCTCTCTCTCTCTCTCTCTCTCTCTCTCTCTCTCTCTCTCTCTCTCTCTCTCTCTCTCTCTCTCTCAAGAAGTTTTAAATATTCGTTTGGTTTTAGGGAAAAAACTACAAGATTTTTCTCACGGTTTTCTTTTTTTCTAATTATGAATCGTCTGTAGCAGATTGTTATGTATTCAATCTTGCTTCCTGACTTTTTGTTTTATTCTTTTCTATGTATCCCGATTAATTGATTTCTTAGTTGTTAATTCTTTTAGCGTTAATTATTATCTATAATAATTATTAAGTTGTTATTTTGGTATCAAAATATTGCTTGATCTATATAGCCTTAGAATGGGGTCCACAGAATAATAATAATAACAATATTTTTTTTCTTTTCTTTCTCCAGAATGATTGAATCAGTTTCCTCCCGATTATGAAATTAGCTGACAAACAAAATGAAAAATTCTCATGTGTCCAGTTAAAATGCTGAAGGATCTACCGGGGAATGCCTCACTAAATATAGATTGTAATCATGACTCAAATACATTAGATAACGTTTCCAATGCGTACGCCTTTGTTACTCTTCGTTAATGAGTCCGTGCGTATTCAGATTCAAGATATATGATGATTTATTATGCGTATAGATTACACTCGTAGTATGACAGTTTTTTAAGTATATATGCACTACATACATTTACTATATGGTAATTCTAATATATGCTTTACAGTACGCTATATGAATGAATATGAATATGAATATTTATGAATGATAGCTCTCAGGTAGGCCTATGTCTCTGCGCGATTACGGTTTTCGTAAGACTAAATGCGGATATTGTAAAATTTCTTCATATAGCGGGGTCATTTCATAACAATTTTGGTTCCCGTGGTATCAGATAGCAACATATTGATGCTAAAATTAGTAAAAAAAAAAAAAAAAAAAAAAAAAAACGTTTCTCTGTTTCTAATTTGCTTTTTCCGTCAGCTGATCACTTCCCTCCTCTCCTCTCTCTCTCTCTCTCTCTCTCTCTCTCTCTCTCTCTCTCTCTCTCTCTCTCTCTCTCTCTCTCTCTCTCTACTCTCTCCTCTCTCTCCTCTCTCCCTCTCTCTCTCCCTCTCTCTTTCTCTCTCTCTCCTTTCTTTCTCTTTCTCTCTCTCTCTCTCTCTCTCTCTCTCTCTCTCTCTCTCTCTCTCTCTCTCTCTCTCTCTCTCTCTCTCTCTCTCTCTCTCTCTCTCTGACTCTCTCTCTCCTCTCTCTCTCTCTCTCTCTCTCTCT